AGATCCCTCGAGCAAAGCAGAGTCCTGGTTGCAAGGCATCAAAGAGGGTCATCAGGATGAGCAGGTGACTGCGTGGAAAGGGGCTCTAGAAGCGCATAAGCAGCACGGGAAGGATCTCCAAAGGCAGTTGAACGCCTAGAGCAATCATCAAGCCGCAAGACCCGCGAGCTATTCCTTGCAGAAAGGGAAAAGTTTGCACAGGAGCATCCGGCCCAAGCAGAGCCAGGGGCCGAAAACGGTTCATTGCCGACATCTCACGAGAGCCGCGACAGTTACTGGCAACAAGTAAACGGCAACGGGCAGCCAGCATTAGTCACTAGTAGGGCAAACAACAAGAAAACGGCAGTGAGAACAGGTACTAGGTAAACGGCTTGAACGGCAATAACCAAATAATGTTGGGCAACCGGCAAGAGATCTGGAAGCGAATGAGCAGCCGGTACTGAACAAACCGCAAGTATAAAGCGCCTCAACAATCCCCAGATACGTTCCAAGACACGAGCCCAGACACGAGCCCAACAACATTCCATCTCTTCGAAAACATCACTGGAAATAGCCAGGATGGATGAAATGCCCAAGGTAGCGTTGCAACATTGTCATTCGGATCTACACAGACAACTGACATGCCATGTAGCTCGCCCTCGGCCGACTAACCTGACGCCATACGATCAGGTCCAGCATCAGCACCACCGCCGCCGCCGCCGCCACCGCCATGTCTCAACCAAATGAGCAGCAGCCGCAAGATGGGAACAGGACTGTTGACGTCGTCATCCTCGTGGCTGCCATCTGAGCCACGAGAGCGCAAACATGGCACAGCTTCACGAGTATCACAAGCTGACCATCGTTGAGGAAATGAGGCCCAAGGCCAAAGCCGACTTTGTGTACGAGAACACAAACTATACGCCCAGGGTACTGTTGTAATGTTGTCATTTGGATATCCAGACAAACTGACATGCCATGTAGCTTACCATTACCGACGAGCAAGCTGACACCATACGATCGAGCCCACCACCACGAATATCTACGTTATTTTCGATGAAATCGAACGCCGAACCGAAAATACATTACATTACAACTCCCATTCGAGATACACACTGTCCGCCGAGTTGGCAAGCTTTTCCTTTCCTACCCACGAGCGATGAAGCCTGCGATTCTCAACTACGGCCAGACAACCGAACGAATATTCCAGCTCCACCACACAGAGCACCAGCGAGGAACACTGCCCTGCCATGACGACTGGACAGGCCGATACTGTGTTTACGGAGACAGGCAAACCACAATGGCTGTACAAGTACCAGACTGCAATTCTGGGACAGTACAATTGATCGGGTCATATCTGATCTAGCCATTCTCAACGTGGTTGGGGCCAAAAACATGGAGCCAGAAGAAGTGCGCCAATACTCTGCAACCCGACAACCTCGACGCCATAACCGTACCATGGCATCTTGAATGACGGCAAGGCTCGAGCCGCGCCCGAGCCAGAAACCCCAATAGAGATGGCTCAGAAAAGCGTCATGGGCCTAGATTCCCGAACCATGAGCTTGAGCCTACATACGACTGATATGGATGGCGACGGTGGGTTGACTTTGCTATTTGTCCCGGGGAACGCAATCATAACAACACACAAGACGTAACAAACGACGGAGCAGGAATATAGCAACTCAGAGATATACAATGCCATCACTCATTTATTGAACAACGACGACTGCAAACAAATGCTTTTGGGCCGCTCATGGCCCTCGTGAAGCACAGAAATAATACCGAGCTTGAACGCTGCCGAAGCGGAACCCAGAACGCTCGAACCACACTCAGCAGAAGCCTCGCTCTTGGGAGCCCATCGAGAATACAAGCCGGGCTGGCAGATCTCAATATTATTCGGAAACTGCGAGAAGATTTCAAAGAGCAACGGGCGGCCCTGCGAGACTTTCGCTCAAAGGACGACATTGACTCTGTTGTATCGCGCCTCTTTGCAACTCTCTCGAACAGAGTCAACGCGCTGGCAAACTGGCAGGCAACGACGTCCCCAGACGGCTCGACCACTGAAATCCGACAAACCATGGCCCGGCCATCGCCCCCAAAGTTATCATGCCCAATATTTGCAACTACGCTTCCCTTTTGCAGCAGCTACGAAACTCGCGAAGCTATAAGTTGTGGGATCAAGCTAGCATTACCATCGTGGCGCAAATCGACCAGCATTACTCCGCATCATTCGCCTTGAGCATCCTCGAGTTGGTCAAGTGGGCAGCAAACCCGACATCTAATGCCCGTCTTCGTGTCTTGACACTGTCTGCCTTTGAAGAACCAGATGATTGAAGGTTCCAGAAGTCCGAGAGGTCCGAGGGTCGTGATACTTGCTTTTTCTAGAGTTTTCGAGTTGGGGCTATGAGGAGGGACATCACAGGGGTCCTCGGGGGATTCAGCAGGGTACAAGTATAGGGATACTGCGGATGGAAGTGGCTTGATTCGGGTTTACAATGAGCTGGGCAACATGGATATTCCCGAAAAAAGATGCGCGAGTACGCGGCACCTAGCTGAAAGATGGCAGACTTGGAGAATGGGGACAACCATTTTTGAGCCCTGTTTGTCTACTCTCGCATGGTCAAAGTCTAACCTTTTATGACCAGAGTTCCTTCATGTATATGTAGTGGTTACTCGTCCCTCTCTTCCTCTTGGAAAACCAAGGACCTTTGACACCCTCATCCTTGTCACAGAATGATGATACAAGCATGACAAAAGTATCGTGCAAGCGCCCTCGGTAGCGAAAAAGTTGGCTTGATACAGAGAGACTTGTTCGTGCCGTGTTCACCATCAGCCCATTGTCCCTGTTGCAGTGTTTGTCGCCATTATTCTTCTGTATTCCGTCTCTCGACATCCAGATAAACCCGAGAGCCAAAGCCGTTGTCGACATGACCGGCCAAGAACTTTTGTAGATCACTGGCAAATCCTCGGCGGTGGGCACAAATTGATGATTATCGCACGGCCAACACCTGGACAGAGGCATCAGACAACAGAGGCGCTGCAGCGAAAGTGTCTCTACGGACCATGTAAAGCAATACAACACACGACAACGGCGTCAAGACACAAACGGGAAATAAAGATGTTGATGCGAGCAACAAGTGTATTCACTTGATCCCTATGGTACCCTCCAAAACCGAGACCCTAAAGACAGCACCAAAATGAAAAGGAAATAGTAGTAAAGCGAAATGCCATCTCTGCGGAACAACTAGGAGCGCAGCACATGTAAAAAAAGACAACCCATGACCATGGAGACCATGGGGCTTCATCTTCCAGCTACCCTTGGAGCACCCCGTGGTAATCCACTTGGTCGTCTTGGAGAGCAGAGCTTTGAGTGGCAGCGTTGACCCCGGACATTCCAACGTCTTCGACATGTACAGACTGCTGAGTCGGAGCATACAGTGCATCTCTAGCAGAGCTCAGGATGATTGCGTTGTTGCGTCAAACAGTTAGTGGGCAGCATCTGCCAGTTGTTGGTGGCGTAGTCAAAGGTCACCCAAGGAGGTGTGTCGCCCGACATCAGGCGTATAGTAAATGCTACCGTCCAAGGCAAGACACTTGAAAGGATACTTCCAGAAACAACTCGTACCGGTATGTAGCCAAAGGTAGGCGATGCGCACGAGGTTCAATTACCTAGTAGAACTTTCTCTCCAGGCTTTTAGGTTACTTGCTGTTACAATTACCTGACTCGTGGTCAGATATATTGCAAATTGGACAGCTATAAACGAAGCCATCGCGGAAAGGATACAAACAGTCTGCAACCTTGTGACCAGGCTTGCGGCAGTTCACATATAATTCTTTTGCGGTCATGTCTCGACGGCTTTGAACTTTGGCGGATAAGAGTAAAGTTGGAGGTGCAGTCGGAGCTGGGTTTAGACCTGGATTTCAAGCTGAAAATATAAATTAAGTATTATTATATTAACTTATTTTTATAATATAATAGTAAATTCTATAGCCTTTTCTACTTACTTAGCTTATATAATAGTTAATATATACTTAAATAAATGTATTA